TGAATTTTCTGGAGGAATTCACAACCGGAGCCTTCGACCAGCCAAAGCCTGACCCGCAAGGCAAGGTGTTATAATAGACGTGATCAGATCAGAATAGAATAGAAAACGCTATGCACAAGATCCAGAAAAACCTGTTTTTCATTCACCATAGAAATGATTTATCCGTCCAATCGATAAACGCCATATCACTCCTTCTATTAGAGTTTTTCCAAATTAACAACAGACAAATCCCATCACGGCGAGATTGCACCTCGACGTGGTATGATGGCTTGCATGCCTCCATCACCCTGCGAGCAACACAGGATGGCTCCTCAGCCGCATATCCAATCATACCTGAAAGGTCAACGGGTACAGGTCAGACAAAGCTCAGTCTCATAAAACCAGCTGCCTGGACACCTGGCTTCATTCGTCTATCCACACCCGCCCTTGGAGAGATCACTCCAGCAAATAAACACGAGGGCAGTTTACCGGCCAAAACACGTAGAAGCGGGGTACCTGGGGCTTCCTCTCGATGGTGGGAGAATTCTTCGTAATTCATTGGAAGCTACCGCCCTCCCAAGCTGGGTAGCCCCCAGTCAATAGGATGCTATCTCATCCACATTCCGCTTGTCTCATTGGTTGCATGAGACTGAGGTCCAATCTCGGAAATCGGACCGACAACCAACTCACCAGTGGACAACACTGAACAAAAACTCGAAGACCTTCCCGAACAGGTCTCTAGAAGCTCCCACATGGGTGCTTCGGTCACGTTCCGGTGTTGGATTTACGGCCCTCTGCCTTGTGGGTCAGACTTTTGAGTCGAAGGCTCCAGTTAGGGTTTCCAAGGAAAACCCCTGCGTCGGTGTGGCCTGCCGGAAAAGGCATCATGCCCTAAAGTCTCAGGCATCCATTTAGAGAAAAGCGTGGTTAATGGTTGTACAAACTGGAAAAAGCAGACAAACCTATCTGGTTAAAGATGCAGTGTATGGCTCTTATTATCAGCTTACCAGATATGGCCAAATTTGGGAATCTCCGAATGAACTTTGGTCGGGTTGTTCCGATCGGACAGCACGATATTTATCAGATACATTGCCCTTATTCAAACAGCACTCATTCCTACAACCTTACTGAAATGGTTTATCTTGTGCTTTATGTACAGGATTCAAAATACTTAATTTTATCAATTATATTGTTACTTGAAATACCAAACTGCTTCTTGTGGCTTATACACCATCTGACTAGACAATTCACGTATGATGTATTTAATATGTTTCTTTTCTTTTCTCTTCAGAAACGTCTAAAGCAGGGTAATTTGCTCGGAGTCGCTGGGATCGATGTGCCCTTACGATCGTTCCGTGATGTGCTCCGCAGTTGGAAGGTTAGTGAGAAACCCGACGAGCTTCGGTCGGTCGGATTGACATGATTCTAAAACTAAAAATACATTGTTTACACGTTACTAATTTGAATGGAAACGTGGGAAACATGGGTTTTCTCCATGCATCATCCATGGTCACTTCGTTGCATCTATGCACACATGCATAATGCAGACTAGTTGATTTTTTTTAGTCAGTGAGGTAAAAACCGTGAGACGAAGACAAAATAGTCAATCACAATGAACAACACGACACAAAAGCACGTAAAACGAAAGAGAGCGGGGTTCAAGCATCAAGGCAAAGCGAACGTGACCAACGTTATTTGCTTAGATCGGGCTGCCGTAGGTGTACCGTGTCGATATGTTTCGCAATTCTATAATGGCCTTGACGCACATCAAGCTAAATTTTTCGGTTTAATCGTTTGTTTTTAATTATTTTTTTCCAGATCGGAGCAAATAATTATATTTTCGCCGTGGATAACAACGGGTTTATTTTGTTTCACCCCTCCTATCGTCCAGTGGTGAGTGTGCCAGTTTTGCACCTTGTTTTTCGGTTCTATTCATACTACGCGTGAGTAGACAATCATGAATCGCCGTTCTTGTATCATGCAATCGGTCACACATTAAGAGGCTGACCAATCACGTCACGTTTCTTCTGCTTGGATACTTTTTGATTTGACCGATTTTCTGTGGAATCACAACATCTGATATTTTAATAGAGGTTGCAAAATATAGTTAAGATTTTTGTGAATTTAGAAATAATGGTGGTTAGTGGAGAACGTACACTCATTCTCAGTAGTGTGCCTTACCGTTCAAATGTGTTATTAGCCTGTTTAATTCAAATCAGTTCCAATATGGCTTTACTTACCCCCCTCCCCCAAAGGAGAATGCTTAGCTTAATGCTCGTCGGTACTTGTATTATTTACTGCAAACGCTCTCCATCAAAGTTGTCGGAGACTGAGGAAAAATTATTTATAAAAACCGTGTGAATACGAAAATATCAGTAAAATGTTGGAACAATGACATTTTAATTGTTCTGGTCATCAACGCTGAGTTCATGGGTTATCGTGCAAGCCGGAATAGGATCGGTATTTAAAGATGTATTTTTTTTGCTTAGGGATAATATAACCGATATTAATATCTGATGAATGAAAAACCGTAAGTAAAATTATTATGTAGTGGTGGTCGGGCTGAGTCTCATAGGATAATGTGGTGAGGCATTTCACATGACATAACGGAGACATCTTTCAACTAATAAACTGATTTTAGCAGAGAAATTTCTAGTAACACGTGAAACAGCTTAAACAAATCACTTAAGGTGTAGAATATGAAACAATGCACGTCATTTCTTCATGAATATATTGTCGCCGTGTTCAGACGAGATAAAAATTTGTACTAACCCGATCCCAAGATGCTGTATAGTAAGCGACCTTGAGATGAGCGAATGGCTTCGATTGAAGATCACGTAATTTCTTTTGAAAAATCCTCTAGGTACTTATGGGTTCAACTGGTTGTATATTGTTATGGTACTGAGAAACTAGCACAATTTACCATTCGTATGAGTGCATAATAACCGTGCGAAATTCCATTTTATTTTTACACTTCTTTTACCTAATCTTTTTTTGTTTAGTACAAATCCATTTTGAAAAGTTACTATCAGAATGTCGATTTGAACGAAGTGGAAATACCGGAAGATGTGAAAATTGAGCCGGTAAGCAGGAAGCGTGTTGATGCTCGCATCAATTTGAGCATCGCAGACCTGAATTTCCCTGGTCTGCCTTTTTCCTCTCCCACATGAGTTTTCATATTGTCACGTGATTTCGATTTTCATGACATTCAAAATTTGAATGACTTCGAACCAACTTATCTTGACAAGCTCTGATGCGGAACTCAGTTATGCAACTAACATCCAGAGTAGGGATAACGTCACAACCTATGTTAAACACTCCGCTATATTTTCAATTCCCTGGGAGTATGCAAACTATTCCGACTGTAGTTGGAATGCACTACTGGAGCTCATTCGATCCAAGATAGAAGCATTGTACTGACTGTATCAATCGGAATTTACCATAATCTTTGTAACGCTCTTGGTATACACGTATTTAGGACGAGTTATGAAACGTGCGCATATGTTCTCGATTTCATTGATCGATAAATTTGAGGTAAAACAGAGAATTTGTTTGATGATTGGCTATTAGAAAGTACCTGGTATGAAATTTAGCACACGATTTCATGAAATTAGAATCAATGAAACTTATTGTCAACAGAGGAGAAAATCGTGCTTAATTTGGTAAAATACAAATTATGAATAGCAGCTAAACACAGGTTTTTGCGATCCCCGAATAGGGTATTTGATACAATCCTAAGTGCATTGCAAATTACGTAAAATTGACCGTCATCTATTCGCTCACTCACATACATGAAGAACTGTTTGCCCAGGAGAATCGTATGATTCAGTTGATACTGCATCAATAGCTATCTGTTTCTCAAAGGCTTACACATTTTCCAAAAGGAGACAGAACGGAAATCGAAGTCAGTCAGTTGTATGTACTTAATAACTTAACCGCGAGAAATGTGAATCACAATGCCAAGTATTTGTTGCTAAACAAAAATGATTATGAATCAACTGATACCGATCGAAGCAATAAAGATAATAATGAAATTATTGAAAATAATAACTATAATAATAATAAGGATAATGTGTTTATTATCAAATCTGCTTACAGAGTATCAAACACGCTTGTCCGTGGTTGAAGAGAAAACGACATTTTGGTCTAATCCTTCCTCGTTCCTTGATCTTATGATTAGGTAACTGTAAAAATTTCAGTGACTGAGTTGGCTTCAATGTCCTCAAATGGAATGTGCCAGATTAATCTTCTTCCTCAACCTCCTTACGCATCAGTGCATGCCAACCAGCGATGAAAATAGTTCAAACTGTAGCTGACGTACAAAAGTAAAGATGTAAGATCACCACATGTAGTGTGGTCTGTCAAAGGTCAACCTGGATATCTCCAGCAGTTAGCGCGTTCGATAAACAACCCCTGATATTTGAACTCACATTACAAAGGGTTTCACGAATACGCACTGATGATGATGATAGTGGTGGTGATTATTATTACTACTATTGTAATTA